CAAGCCAAGCAATTGTTTCATACTTTGGTGTTCTCAAAACTTTTCAACTTTCATGCAATACATAAGCGTGAGCCATGGATATAGCACTATAGGTGGAATAGAATTTGGTGATTGTAGAGAAGACAAAAAAAGAAGGAGATAGTCTCACATCAACTAGGCATATCAACGAGCTATGGAGATGCCCATCAATAGATTTTACCGGAGTACCGGGGGGTTACCGAACCCCCCCCCCCCCCCCCGGAGGGGGGGGTTAATGGGCCTACATGGGCCCTAAGGGAGAAGAGGAGGTCCGGCCAGGGCCTACATGGACCTACACAAGTATTTCTACCAATCCACAATTACTTACTAGCATGACTCTAATATCACCATCTTTATATCTCAAAACAATCATAAGGAATCAAACTTCTCGTAGTATTCAATGCACTTAATATGAAAGTTTTTATTATATCCCTCTTGGATGCCCATCGATTATATTAGGACTAAATTCATAACCAAAGCAAATTACCATGTTGTTTAGAGAGACTCTCAAAATAATATAAGTGAAGCATGAGAGTTCAAAAATTTCTATAAAATAAAGCCATCACCATGCTCTAAAAAGATATAAGTGAAGCACTAGAGCAAAATTGCCTAGCTCAAAAGATATAAGTAAAGAACATAGAGTATACTAATAAATCACGATTCATGCGTGTCCCTCTCAAAAGGTGTGTACAGCAAGGATGATTGTGGTAAACTAAAGCGCAAAGACTCATATCATACAAGACACTCTAAGCAAAACACATATCATGTGGTAAATAAAAATATAGCCTCAAGTAAATTTACAGATAGACGAAGACGAAAGAAGGGATGCCATCCAGGCATTTCCAAGCTTAGATGCTTGGTTGTCCTTGAATATTACATTGGGGTGCCTTGGGCATCCCCAAGCTTAGGTTCTTGCCACTCCTTATTCCATACTTCATCAAATCTTTACCCAAAACTTAAAAACTTCACAACACAAAACTCAACAAAAAACTCATGAGATCCGTTAGTATAAGAAAATAAATCACCACTTTTGGTACTGTTGTGAACTCATTCTTTATTTATATTGGTGTAATATCTAATATATCCAACTTATCCATGGTTCATACCCCCGATACTACCCATAGATGCATTAAAATAACCAAACAACACGTAGAAAACAGAATCTCTCAAAAACAGAACAGTCTGTAGCAATCTGGAAACTTCGAATACTTCTGTAACTCCAAAAATTCTGAAAAATTAGGACAACAGAGGCAATTTTTATATCAATCATGTGCAAACAGAATAAGTATTTTATCGCGCTTATGTGAGTAACGAAAATTATTATTGGGCGCAAAAGTTTTTGTTTTTTAGCAAGATCAAATCAACTATCACCGTAAGCTATTCCGAAGGTCTTACTTGGCACAAACACTAATTAAAACACCAATACACATTTACTATAGAGGTAATAATGTGTAAACTCATAAAAACAGAAAAGAAAAATATTGGGTTGCCTCCCAACAAGCGCTTTTTTAAGCCTTTTAGCTAGGCGTTGATTATTTTAATGATGCTCACATAAAAGACAAAGAATTGAAGCACAAAGAGAGCATCATATAGCATCGGGCAAACAAATTTAAGTCTAACATGCTTCCTATGCATAGGAATCTTATAAGCAAAGAAATTATCAAAACAAGAAAGATCTAGCATATGCAAAGGGGAGGAATAAAACATTGGCAATCTCAACATAACGAGAGGTAATTTAGTAACATGAAAATTTCTACAACCATTTTTTCCTCTCTCATAATAATTACATGTGGGATCATACTCAACTTCAACAATATAGCTATCACATAAAATTTTCTCTTCGGCGAAGTTGACACTCTTCCAAAATAGTGGGATTATCAAATAAAGTCATGACCTCTCCAAGCCCACTTTTATCAAAAATTTCATAAGATTGATCGTCTCCAAAGTAGTGGGATCATTATGACCTAGAGTCGACACTTTCCCAAACGCACTTTCAATATTATCGCGAACATATTCATCATGAGGCTTAAACAAATTTTCAAGATCATAAGAAGCATTATCACCCCAATCATGATCATTGCAACAAGTAGTGGACATAGCAAAATTAGCATCCCCAAGCTTAGGGCTTTGCATATTATTAGCATAATTGACATTAATGGGATTTATAATAAAATCATTCCAATCATGCTTTTCATTCAAGGAGTTATCGTGAATCACTTCAAAAATTTCTTCTTTTTGCACTTCATAACAATTTTCAGATTCACGAATTTCAAGCAAAACTTCATAAAGATAATCTAGTGCACTCAGCTCACTAGCAATTGGTTCACCATAATTGGGTCTCTTAAAAAGATTAGCAAGTGGATGAGGATCCATAAACTTTTTGCTTACTGTTTTTCAATAAATACACAATTATGCCAAGCAAACAAGCAAACAAACCAAGTAAGATATAATGGCAAACGAAAAGAAGGAAAATAAAAAAGGCAATGATTTTTGATTTTTTTTGAAATCGTTTTAGAAGTGGGGGAGAGGAAAACGAGAGCCCGTGTCAGAGCGTGTGGACCGGTGGGCTGCGTGAGTGGGTCAGTCGCGCTGAGCCGCCGACGCAGGAGGCGGCGTACCTCGAGCATTACAGATTCCACGCGCTCGCGAAGGAGTGGGCAGATGGCGAGCGCCTGATGCAGGCCGAGCGCGAGGTGCGGGAGCGCCGTGCCTGCTGGGCATGGAAGGACAAGGAGGCACGCCGTAAGGAAGAGGAGGAGTCTCGTGCCCGCGGCGAAGCAGTCCAGCTGGCGGTGCAACCGGCGCAGCAGGTGCAAGATGCGGCCCAGGCCTGGGAGGCGACATTCCCCTGGGCTGGCCCGGCGCCGGAGTTGGTCGACCTCACTGGCCCCGGGTCGGACGACATGTTATGTTTGAACGTGTTTGTTGTGTTTTTTTAAGTCCAAGCCCCAAAAAATGTGTCGGACCAGCGTTGGGTGCATGCGCCAATCCAAATGAAAAAATGGACACTAACTTCCGCGCGGCCGACCCAAATGAATAAAAAGCAGACAAAGCGTGCGTCCGTTTGGGTCTGCCCGTTGAAGTTGCTCTTAGGGAGCAGTAGTAGTAATATGGAAGTTCGAGAAAATGAGGCTGCTGCTCTGTGTATACGTTGTTGTTGCTGCGTGTTGTCTCGGGTGAGAAAAGAGGGAGAAAGTGAGAGGGTGGGCTTCTGATTATACTTGAGTTGTCGTAGTAGTTTATAATTTATGGGTTTTTTTTGAACTTGTAGTTTATGTTTCTAGATGTGTATGCTGCATCTGAAAATGTGTTTGGTTGTTTGTTTTGTATGCTAATAGAATATAAAATAATGTAAAATTTCGATTTAGTTCTTTGTTTTATGTATTAGTTTTGCATTGTAGTAATAATTTGATCATTCAACTGAAAATGCAGAGGATATTACAATGATGTACATATGAATCTGATAGTTTCATAATATTAAAAAATATGGAATGTTAAAACATAGGGGTAGAGATTTAAGAGTGCTACTGGCGTTCAGCAAATTTTAGGGAAAATCTTTGTAAGGAAGTCCCCTACAAAGAGAATTAGGGGAGAGATTTGGGAGAAATGTTGGAATTGCACCGATTCCTGCAGAGGGTAGCTATGAGGAAGGCAGAGTGTGGGACAGTGAAGGAGGAGATCGGGATGGAGGGGGGGGGGATAGGGAGAAGTTTACATGACAATATCACTTTCTACAGGATCCTCAGAAAAAAATTACTTTCTACAGTTCTAAACATCCCTTGCGTTGGTATGGTTCAATGGCAAATGTGTCGTGCGGCGGCTAAGTCGTCGTCTTTGGATTGATCACGTTCGTACACGTTGGGGTCAGGTGGGCACAGCAATCGTCGTCGACAAGGGCGCGAAAGAGGATAAGCATTGACATAGATGTCGTGGTGTGTTGTTTAAATAGAGGACGTTGACCTTTGGGGTGTTGAACCATGTTTATTGGGGTAGAGATGTGTCTTTTCTTCTGTTGAAACGCACGGGCATATGTCCTACTAAAACTTAAGAAGAAAACGATACAAAGTGGAAGTCAAGCATATTGGAAGGTTCCCCGTGCTTTCACCAAGTCCAGCGAATGAGAAAATAATAATATATGGCCACCCCATACCGCAAATGGTCGACTCTGTATTCATGTTACTTGTTCAGAAAACGGAAGTTGGCTGATACTTCAACAAGCAGACAGAACAAAATCCCTATAACCATCTAAAAATCCCATCTTCATCTCCATGTAAGATATACAGAAATAATGGGTGCTGCCATGAACGACTGGGGAAAGACAATTTGTAAAGGACCAAAAATTTAGGGTAACCTTCATGAGCTACTAAGGCCCTGTACAGCGGGGGGTGCTTAGCCAGGTGCTAGAGAAAAAAACCCGGTTTTTTTTTCCTCATCTTGGATTGTACCGATGCTTAGGAAGGGAGCCAGAAGCAAATGTTTGCTTCCGATGCCAGCCGATGCTTAGAAATAACTGCTCCCTTCAAAGCCTCCATCAACAGGAAAAATAAGAGAAAAAAGAGTCCAACGCCTCCATCTAAGCAACTGAAGCATCTCTCCTTTGCACCACTCCATTGCAAGACCACGTCCGATGCTTATCTTTTTCCTCAAGCACCTGTGCATAAGCACCCACCATTGTATAACTCTAACGCAGCAACAAAGAGAGCCCAACAGATAACAAGCTCGGTCCATTTACAAGACTACAACTCTGATATTCTGCTAGCACATCAGCTCACATCGGTACAACTTCATGTAAGATATATCACCTAATGATTTTGTTTGCCGATCTTGACACTAAACATGTTTTGATAAACCAAGATCTTTTATTGCTGGCAATAATTTATAGACACCGACGGATACATACTAAGCTTATGGACCTGTACTAAGCGCGCACATGCTTCAGGAAGGAATTGGATGGATGGCCTTTCAAGACTCGAATCGTTTGTTCATGCCTCCAATGCCCAATAAGTACCCTGCAGAGTGGTGAAAGATAAACCTTGTTAATTACTGCGCAAGAAATTTTTTTATTGTATACTCGCAAGTAATCTGAAAGGAAATATTTTTATACCTTTGACCTTTCCATAGTAGTGTAAAGACAATGAATGTCAAGTTCAATCACATCACCCACTTGATTAATGTATTTCGAGTAGGTTTTATAAATAACTCCACGAGCTAATGCAAATTCTCCTGTTCCACCCAGAATAGCCCATTCACCTTCTGCGACAACGGTTCCCATGACTTGAAGCGTGGACCCTTTAAACCTGCATGACATACAAATTAGCATGCTTGGATGTAGAATTCAAATGCTTGTGTGCATCAGCCGATATAGAGGCGGGGTTTTCCCTCCATTTCAAAGAAATAAAATGTAAAATGCATGGTAACCATGATACGCGAGGTCGCATAAAAAACATGAGCTTGGAGCAACACATGCATTTACCTGCCATCATCGAACACCATGTTGAAAGAAACATAGTAGTCTTCGGTGTCCATTCCGGCCTGGATATGGATGCCCTTTGCGTGAGCCACAACCTTGGTGTCACGGCCAGGTGAGTCCGTGATGACCCAATCATTAACAATCAAGGATCCAAAGTCATTTTTCAACTCACTACTCAATACGTCTTGTTGGTTCCTATATTTCCCTTGAAAACTATGGTGCAGGTAGAGGCGAGCGTAGAACTCGTGCTCCGTGCGGTGTGTGCAGACAGGAGTGATCTTGAAAGGGGGGTCGTCGTCGACGCGAGGGTACTGGCGGCTGCACTGCTCGGCGCAGGCGCACTCCACGGAGCAGGTGCGGTCTGGCTGGGGATTGGAGTCGGCCGTGGTGGCGAGCAGGATGGCCAGCATCATGCTCAGTGCCACCATCTTCGCGGCTTGAGCACCGGAAGCCATTGCTGAGGTTCCTCTGTGCTATGCTAGAAAGTCATGTTTATGTGTCTCCTCCGAGCACCTGTGATATATTTATAGATCTGCGAATTAACCCCGTCTCCCTCGCTTTGAGAAAAAAAAACAATTGCAAAAGTACCACATAGACGCATGACACGTGTGCAGCATGAGCAGACGATGCTTGTGTCTTCCTCGAGTGCCCCATCAGTGAACAAGCCACGAATGGAATTGTGAGTGTGTTTGGGTGACCACAAGAAGACGGGGAGAAGACAGCATGAAAGGATCGAGGTGCTTCTCGTGCTTGCTTGTGCTGACGTGCATGCATGTTCCCGCGAGGGAGAGGTTGTTGGTTGTCCAGTCGTGGACGGTGGTCATGCATCATGCTTTCTACCTAAATTATTGCTTATTGGTGGTCCAGTCTTCGTGTATCACGCTTGGTAAATCCAAACGAGTGTGCATGCATGGATGTGATGTGACAACAATGTGCGTGAATCACGGTTCAAAAAGTAAATAATATGAGGCTTCGAAAATTCCCTGATTATATAGTGTTTGTAGTACTGATGCTTGTTCCGAGTACCCTAAGCCGAACGTAACACTCGACATACTGTACGCTAAATTGGGCTTCACCGTGTGTTTTTGTTATACTCGACTTAATTTGTTTTTCCTGTAGTATTGGTAGCTGAAGCATTGATATTTTCTTTTCAGGAGTACACTAATAATTATTTCTGATCCTGGAATGTATTGTGTGTGGATAAAAACCTAATGAACATTCCTCTATGCACTCCATGTAGTCATAGAAATCATTGTTGTAGCACATTTGAATGCATAAAACCATTTGACAATCTAATAATTTCTGAAAAAAAAGAGTACAGCTAGCTCTCTCTCCACCCTTTGACAGCAGGGTAAAAGGGACAAGCCTTCAAATATCTACCAATGGCAATGAGAAGATAATCAAAGGCCTGTTTTTCAACCAGCTACGGTGGGCAAACGTCATACTGAAGTACTGAACATGTTTCATTTTCTTTTTCGAACACATAAGCCAATACAAAGACAACCGCTATAGAAAGTAGCACCTGCCACACACACGACAGAATAGGAAATTACAAAGAGAGAACCAGGAATGAGCTACGACAAGCATCTAATATTGTATATATAGCATCTAATGTTGTAGGAGGATGGCATTTCGGACCTCGAGCTCATCTAGTCGTGCTGTGAATATATTGAGTTGAAAAAATAATAGCCAAAAATCAAAACAATCTGAAATTTTTGTCACTAAAGATGCTCAAGTGTTCACTGCAAGTGAAATTTCGTGACGGTGCCACATTGGGAGAGCTCTATACAAAACAGTTGAGCTGGAAAAAGCTTCGAAAATAGATACTTTGGAGCAATGTTAATTTGCTGTCCAGAGCACCCAGATGTCATCTTGGAACAATATTTTACCTGCATCTAGAAAACAGGAGCATCTTTGATGTCCAAACATTTCAGATTGTTTTGATTGTTTTTAATATTATTTTTTAATAAACTATTCATCTGCTAGTAGATGTGCTCGGGCTCTAATAGCAATTTTCGAATGTTGCATACACTACTATCAAGTGAAAGCATTGCAGCACTAGGGCACAGAGTTGCGTGAGTCACTTGTCTAATCTTGCAAAGCCCCACTGAGTCCACCATCTCTTTCTAGAAGATACAAAAAAAACAGTAGCTCCTGTTAGAATATACGCAAACAGGTCACAATGGAAAGTAGATAGAGCGACAATATTGGTTAACTAGGTCCAACGATCAATGCCTATATCTTTGTAGCATGACTACGGAGTAGCTTTCAGGAACCACGGGATCAGATTTGCCAAAGGTGGACAACGTCGGTTATCCTGGGTTAATGTGTGCACCCCTCTCAAATAAGGGGGCCTTGGGCTCCACGATCTGAAGGCATTGGATAATGCATTGCGAGGATACGGGCTACCAAAGTGACGCAACACTTATCATGGTTGGCAGCGAGACTCTCGGTCTCCGATGAGGCGACAACCATCTTCAGAGCCTCTTCCTCTATCGTTTCGCGCCTGACCCCTTCAAGCTGGTGAAGCCCTCTGCTTTTGCTCGTCGCATGGTTAAGGATGGCCTACAACAAGGCTCTTGGATCCGTGATCTGAGGAGGCAACATTTATTGGCGGCGGTGTGTTTTGTTAATCAGTTTTGCTAAACCATATCTAGATGTGCCCTAAGTATTACATATTTAAAGCATACGTCATTGATTTTAAGTGGAGATTCGTGCATGCATTTTCTTTTGTCATTTGTCTTTTTCTTTCTAGTTTATTTTTAGAGAAAAGACATCAACCGACTTTGAATAAACAAAGCCATCAACTGGTCAGGATTACAGATCACAAGAACCAAGAAAAGAAAATACAACACGGTAACATACAAAGACGCTGGTTAGCAGCTAACTAGCCTCAAAGCTACAAGCTTCAAGATAAAGCAGATAGGCACACAGCTGAAGACATCGAGGCCCTCCTCCAAGAATGAAGCACCAGGGAGATAGGACCATGCTGGGACAAAGGAGAAGGGGATGACCGCAATAGGGAGTGTGGTCACCAAACAGCTATGGACCCCGGCACGGCATAGCCATCCAATTCCATCTCCAAAGAAGGCCACAACCTCATCGCCTGGCTCGAAAGGCGCTGCACCGTCGGAAGATAGAATGTTCCACCTAGAACAAGAATGGTTGCCACCAGAGGATGGCCACATAGAGAGGATCCACGCACTCCCGACGAGCCGCCAAAGCTTCCTTCAAGCAGAATTGCCCGTGGCCCAGCCGCAGAGGAGGGATAGCATCAAGCTTGGACGAAGAGGATACACCACTGACACCGTCGAATGCACCCCAACAACGCACACCAACCAAACAACTCCCAAAGGCGGCGCCTTCAAGAAGGAGAACGACACCGAGAGCACCACCGCCCACCGAGGTTAGGGCTTTCACCCGTGAGGCTAGAGGATGGTGGGTGGAGGGAGTCAGACCTGACAAAATGCCTCCAAGGAGGAAGGACGGTGCCCTCTGGCGCCGCCGCTGTCGCGGCTAGCCATGGCCGGCCATGGATTTCTCCTGGTCTGGCTCCACAGCACCATCCCACCCGCAGCACGGAGACCGAAGATCGAAGAAGAACGACGCGTCGGAGAAGGAAGGGGCCTGACGAACGCCTCCAAGGAGGGGCCGCACCGAGTCGGAGAAGGAAGGGGCCGCTAGATCTAGTGCCGCCGGCCGCCAAGACCGCACCAGGTCCACGTCCACCGGAACCCCGCCGCCCTCACGGACAGGGACACCATCACCACGCCCGCGCCACTGCTCGCCACAGAGCCGGTGGTGCCACTCCGACCGAGGCAGCCGCCCCAGATCCCGCGGCCCCCTGCGAAAAACAGAGCAGCAGATGCCCCGTCGGCACCTTCCTCGGCGGCGCCCCGGGCTTGCCCTGCGGCGGCCTTAGGCGGTGGTGAGGGGTGAGGGAAACGGGAAGGGGTGCTATGCGCGATCTAGGGTTTCACCCCCGAGACGCCCGGGAGGGGCGGACACTTTTTCTTTCTAGTTTGATTGAGTCACTTAGATATGCAATAATTAGGGCACATCTAGATGTGTCATTGTTAATTAAATCGGCATTAAGAGTATATGCAGTATGAATAGAGATTTATTTTTGCACTGTACACATATGGTTGTTCTTTATTTGTGCAAATACGGTAGTTAAACAAACGGAGGACACACACCGCGACTGTTACAAATATAGAGTATACGGACGACCTGCACCAGAATCATCTACTTGATCTTGACACTGGTTATAGTAACCCTTTCTCCCCAGGCCTTGGGCACGAACAACACCTCAACCGTCTCGTCGCCGTCCGCTCCGATTTTCCGCAGCACGTCGCGTATGTCCCTGATTACCCCCTTGTCGTTTGGCGTCGCAAGGAAGGTATGCAGGTGGTGCTCGGACTTGTCACTCAACTCTTTTCCCCCGGGCATATTCAAGTACACCTCAATCACGGGCGTGTCCATGCCGCGGGGCTCCACGTCGAAGAAGACGTGAAGCGTCTCCCTCCCTTGAGATGTCTTCTTCGAGGCCTTAGGCCTCGTCAGCTTCAGCCTCAGGGTCTTGTACAAGGTGGTCGGGAGGGGTCTTGTCCAGGGTCCTAGGCAGTCTCCGCAGCCATTCTTCAGCACACACTCGACGAAGCAGGTCTGGACGTCATCCGCGCCGTCGCCGGCATTCAGGATGCACTTGCCGGCGCAGGCGCAGTTCTGGGAGCAGATGCAGGGATTCGAGGCACCGGGAACGTCGGATGTCTCCACAATGCAGCCTCCCGCCCCTTGCTGGGCCCCCGCAATGAACACAGTAGCCAGCATTATGCCGGCGATGGCAATTATCTTCTTCATCGGAGCACCGGAAGCCATAATAGATGCTATGCCCTCTTACCTCCAAAGCTTGGTATTTATAGGGAGCAGATAATGTATATATGCCGGCCCGTTGTTTCTCTCTTCTTCACAAGAAGAAGATAGGGAAGAAAAGAAAAAAAATTGAAAAACAAAAAAGAGCACCGATCTTTCGCGACGATACTAACTTGCTGGGCAAAACGCGACAGGTACATTATCCCATGTGTGGCCACATGCGTGCAATGTTGGATTGTATCTACTACACGGCTTTTTTTCTTTTTCTATTTTTGATTCACTATGCTCCTTTGTTAGCAAGCTAGAAAATGAAAGGATGGCTCTTCAATCGTGATACACGATGGCTGGACCACCGATCACGTAAAGACGAGCAAAATGGCACAGAACCATATTCTAAATGATACAATACGTGGTTGGTTGTATTTTCTTGCCGCCGTTTCTAACGCATGTACTTGTGGGGCATGAAAGGCTAGGCTTGTTCATACCAGACATACATTTCTTATCCCTAGCTAGAAGATGTAATGGGGAAATGAAAAGCCACAAAGGTTTGTCATTAACGTGAAAGGTTATTTTTCTTCTTATTAGGGCAGTCCCAATGCCAATATTTCAGACCACATCTAACATCGCCACATAGGAATTTTCTGATGTGGCAACTAGTTATGAAGAAAGTAAATGATATGCTGGCTTTTTATGATGCAATCTGTAATTTAGGTTGATTGAGTTGCCACTGAAAGGTAAGAAGTTCACATAGAATAATATGCAATCAGCCCCCTGCATGAAAAACTAGATTGGTTTTTCACACGGTATTGGACAATCACCTATCTTAACACTACTACGCTATGGCTTTCTACCTAGCCCGAATTACATCTGATCATGTTCCTTGTGTTCTCAAGATAGAAATTGCCATCCAAAGTCTCATGTTTTCATATTTGGCATTTCTTTTACGGATCTTGAAGGCTTTAAGCAAGTGATCTCTGCTGCATGGAACAGTCATATTTCTGAGAATAACATTTCTAGAAGAATCAATGCCAATTCAATTATTGATGTCTAAGCTCAAGACTTGGGCCAAGAATGATCTTCAGGACATTAATAGCTTGATTCTTCTTCTCGGAGGCATTGAACAATATAGACCACTAGTGTCTCATGACACTTGACTAAGGGATGCAGCTAAAAGTTGCAACATAGCTTTGTTGCCTTCTACTTATGCATAGATTAAATACTAGAGCAATGCACCTGCGAAAGACTTTCTATTTGCCCTCATATGACTCTCACATGTGCAAACATCATGTTGTTGAGGATAGGGAGCATCCCTTCTTTGGTTGTCCATGAGGATCTACTAGCCATCTGTCCAATTCTCTCATGATTTTCACACGACTCTGAGAAGGTTGAAGGGAGCCCTGGATGACCCCTTTTTCATGGAACTCGTCGTCCTACTCTCTGGAGCATTTGAATCTACCAGAATGATTACAACTTTAATCATAAAGCTCCTAATCTTTATACATGTAGGTAGAATTTTAAGACGATCTCAAACTTATGCTACATAGAGTGAACAGGGCTTCATATGCTGGCATTAGAGATTGGGCAGCTTCATTCATGTAACTAGCCAGCAGTGTTTGTTGTCACATTATGTATTTTTTATTCTTCTATTCTTTTATAACATAGTACATAGTTCACCTACTATCTTCCGTCAAAGGAAGAGTTATGCAGAAAGACAGGATTACAGTATCATATTTCTAGTACGCATTTTTTTTCACGGTAACCAGTGCAAGTTAGTCGGACCAGCTATTAAATAGTCGCCTGATTTTTGTGACTTTCGGAGAATTTTGCATGGACCACGGGATTGATATCCAACTGTTGTTGTTCTTTTTTTTCTCCTCTAAACAACTTCTTCTTCCCTCCCCCTCCGCTTGGGTATAGTCGTCGGCGCTACCGTCCACCGCCTCATGCCCCGGCCATCCTTGTAAACCCCAACCATCCCACCCCCTTCTCCCAGTACTATCGCCCAAACTACCGACCCATACCACCAGTAGCCAGCAGCACTGCACCTCACCTGCCTGTCCTTCCCGAGCCACATCCTCCACCAGTACGCCACCACCTTCTGCCAGCCCTCTGATCCGCGCCTCATGTCCATCACCGACGAGCACCCATGTACCCTCTCCACCTGAACCCATGAACCCTCTGTCACTATTATGATAACGATGTTGTCGCCAGCTATGTCGTCCCAGCCTCTAGCATAGTCCTAGTGAGCTCATAGCCGATGAAAAAATGGCCAGCCATAGTATCCCTGTCTCGGGCGGATAAGGGTGGATTCAACTGAAATGATGAAACTTTTAGGCAATCGAACTCACAAATTAATAGCTCACCCAATCCCATGTTACCCTTGCCCCCACTCTCGATCACGCATGGACAAAACTACTGCTACCCTCGCCTCTTCACACAGGCCACCGACGTCATTTCTTGATTTCCCATCCTGGCTTTGTTGTTTTCTCGTCCCCATCTCAGTTCTGCCATATCCATCTCGTTTCTCAAGATTTGGTCATGTCGATATGAATCAACAAGCTTCTTACGTTGCAAATGTATTGATACAAAATTGATCAAGATAGGCCCAAGATTGACTTGAAGATTTTGTGGTCCAAGTTCGCAAGGGCAAAACCAAAAAAAGTTCTGGAGGGCAAAGATAATTCATGGTGGTAGAATAGTTGTTTTAGTCAGTTCGATGTCCATGCTTTTGAGGTTCCACAAATGTTATCTGATTTGATAGAGTTAATTGCAAAAAATCACTACATATAAGACTAGGTTTGCAGAAAACCACCACATTTCATTTTCATTGCAAAAAACACCATGTCTTTGATAATCATGTTGCAGAAAGCACTAATCGACTGGTTAAGGCCATTAGATGACTTATCTGACATGTGGGTCCCACAACTTGATGACATGGCATGACTGCTCGGCCTAACGGTGTTAGAGGTCGCTTTGGTCAAAGTGACCCGGTGGTGGCAGTGGCCGTTATAGACACTAGAGTCTAGATGGGCACACGTGAAAATCACACACGCAGCATGCAGGCGAGATTGGCTGCAACAGAGTAAATTGCACAAAACCACCACTTTGAAGGCTAGGTTTGCGAAAAACACTACAATACATTTTTTTTGCAGAAAACACCACGTCTACGGTAATCTTTTTGCAAAAATCACTGATCGGCAGTCTTGCGCTGTTAAGTAAGATTATGACAGATAGGTCCCATTTTTTGCTGACGTGGCATAACATTTTACCCAAGACAGCGTTAGACGGGTAAAAAAGCTAAATTGTCGGCAGGTTTGGGCTCGGGCTCCAGCTTCTATTGTAGTGCCTGCGATTTTATTGCTTTTGATCTGGATCAGGGACTACAGGGGTAGACGAGTATACATAGAAGCTGGAGCCAGAGCCCAAACCTGCCGACAATTAACATGCCCGTGGTCAATTCCAACGGGTGACTAGCTGATCGTTCATGCTCGTACCATCGCGGTGGGTAACATGCTGCTTAGGCTCGTATACAATGTAGACAGCACGGACAAATAACGTCTGCCGCTCGTACCAATAAGGCCCTTTCTTCCCAGCGGAAACATAAGGAGCGATCGACACCATGACCGTCCTGTTGCCGTCGGCTCCAATGGCTTCCAGGTTGCCGCCGATGGGGAACTTGCGCGCCGCCTTGTCTTGCCCGGCGACGATGTCCTCTCTGTGCACCACGTAATGGCCCGCGTACCTTGGCTCAACCGGTGCATTTTCGAATAGCGTTTTCTCTTCGCCCTCGCGCAAGTTCAGCCACACGTGGAGGAAGGATATCTGGTGGACGTCGGGTCCGAAGCCCATCTCCACGACCAGCACCTCCTCCGTCTCCTCCTTCTCCTTTCGGCTCCTCGACACACTGGGCCTCGTCACCAGTACCCTCACGTGCTTGCTCAGGACTACATCCAGCTTCGGGGGCTGGGGAGCGATGGTGGCGGCCGCCTCGCCTCCGCCGTCAGCGCAGAAGACCCAGCCGCCGTCCCTGAGCACGCAGTCCACGAAGCAGGTCTGGGACTGCGCGTCAGTCAGCCCGGCCTGGTCTCCTCCCTTGCGGGCGCACTTGTCGTAGCAGAGGCAGGAGCTGGGCACCGGGGTCTCGATCTCGCCGACCCGCCGGATGCACCCGCCGTCGCCTTTGCCATGAACAGCCATGGCCAGCAAGAGGACGGTGGCCGTCAGCAGCACGGAAGCCTTCATCGTGGTTGAATCGGGAGCCTTTTTGGTAGCTGGCTGGGACTATGAGACCTAGCAATTCAATGGGCCTTGCTGTGAGCTCATGTATATATATGTACACAAAGTATGTGATGAGTTGTCCCGGTTGTGAGGCAAAGGGTGTGTGGTGATGGCAAGCCGCTGGGATAGCACTAGAATGGACCCCTACCCCTCGTTGGCGCGCCTTGTCTTTTGTTTCGGTGGCCTGGCGAATTATTCCATTTTAAATTTGCTGCCACGTGAGGATTTCGTTTTGCCAATTACATACTTGCTCCATCCCAAATTATTTGTCGCGGAATGGATATCCATTTATGCGTCAAGTAATTTCTGACTATGGGAGTAGTATACTAAGCCTCAAATCAAGAACACCTCCTTTTCAGGATTTTTTTTTTCAAGATCACCTCTTTTTCGGAAATAAAAATTCAAGAACACCTCTTTTTCAGAAAAAGAAATCAAGAACATCCAAAAGGAAAAGCTCCTCGTGATAGTCTAGTTTCAGAATTGCAATCACTAAAATACTCCTTGTAAGACAGTATTGAGCGAGCTGGTATTGTTGGTCATATTCATTCGTAAGCACTTTGCAGCAAGAAAGGTACTCTCTCCGATTCATAATAAGCATCGCAGTTTTAATCTAAAGTTGAACTAAGCTTAGTTCTAAACTATGACACTTATTGTCGATCAAAGGGAGTACGAGAAATGATGCTGCAGAATGGGATGGATCAGTTCCTTTTAGGAAAGAATTGATGGATCAGTTGGGAACAACTAACGACAAGTGATGAGCTGCAGATGGACCTCAATGGATCAGCTCCGCTTACTAGGAGTCATGAGAGACCACGTTTTGCTGAGCTGAGAAGATAGTTCAGCCTAACTGACAGTACATGTCCATCTTTCGAAAGCATGGGCAATAGCACTAGGAGGAGGGGTGTGGCTATGTGTCGCCTTTTTTCTTTTTTTGGGGCAAAGCTATGTGCCACTTACTGTGAGCTGGATTTACAGCTCTCCTACAACACGGTACAGTGTTTAAAAAATGGTTACAAAGTGTTAAACTTGTTTATATAGTTAAAAATGTTTTCTACCATACAAAATATTAGTTACATTTTTTATAAATGTTTATACAGCGTAAAAAATGTTCACCTCCTTAAAAACATCTTTATACATGTTCGTGAATTTCTATACAACGTAAAATAATGATAGCATAGTTTTGAAAAATGTCATTGCAATTAAAAGTATACAACGTGTACTTAGAAAATGTTACCTTGTACTTGGAAAATATTAAAGTGTAAATGTGCATCTGTATTTGAAAAACTGTTCACATGTGCGCTAAGAATGTACACTATCTACTGAGAAAAGTAGACAGTGTGTAAAAAAAACCAATAGAAATAGACAAAGAAACAAAAAAAAAGCAACGAAAACTAAGAAAGATAGTACTAAGAAATCCAATGTATAACAAAGAAAAAAAGAAAACCAGTGCAAAACAAAGGTATAATGAATAAATAAAATAAAACCTATGGAGAGACCAAAGAAAAAACAAAAGGAAAGGGAAAAACAAGGTATATGAGCCTTGCGGGGGCTCCCCAAGGAGTACTCTTTGATTAGTTGTTCTCCTGTCGCTACTCTTTTTTTGAGGCTAAGCTATTTGCCGCATACTGCGGTCTGGATTTGCAGATAGCTTACAATGGTGTACTAACTGGGAGGCCCAACTAACGCAGCTTACTTTGTCTTAAAAAAGGAGTAACGGAACTTACTTGTTCGCTTGTTCTGATTTTTCTTTTTTTCTTTTCCCTTTATACATTTATTTAAATTTCGAAATGTCCTAGCATATAAATATTTGTATTTAAATTGTTTATACAGTGTTTACAAAGTGTTAGAAAATGTTACCTTCTACTTGAAAAATGTTACTATGTATTTGAAAAAGTGTTCAAAACATGTATTTTTAAAAACGTACATCATGTATTTGAGAAAATTTCCAACGTATATAAAAAATGTTCACATGTGCGCTAAGAATGTACACTATGTACTGAGAAAAGTAGGCATGCGTTAAAAAAAGAAACCCAATAGAAATAGATGAAGAAACAAAAAGAAAAGCAAAGAAACCTAAGAAAGATACAAAGAAACCCAATCTATAACAAAGAAAAAAAGAAAAACCAAAGAAAGCCAGTGAAAACAAAGAAAACCAAAGTATAACGAAGGAAAAAAGAAATATCAAAGAAAACCGATGAAAACCCAAAAACCAAAAGAAAACTGAAAAGGAAAACAAAACGAAAGAAGAACGGACCAGAGGAAACCTACGGCAATGTTACCTGGTTGACCCGATTCACTTCCCGTAGGCGATTCCTAATAGGAACGGTACGGGCGAAACATAGCTCTCAGGTACTGGAAGCTTCAATTGGACTCTATGCATCAAAATTTTAACCGCACACATCCCCGGCTAGGATGGCCCAACTACAGTTGTGTCTAGTGATTTTGGTTTTTTCTCTGATAAGCCACTATAGCGACCTAACCAATGTAGCGGCACGTGGCACTGCACCAGCCGGTTATATAAAGATTTTTATTCATTCTATATTTCCATTTTTCTGAAAACAGAAACATTTTTTGTAAAACCCCCAACATTTTTTGGAAATATGAAGAATTTTTGACATTTTTTAATATTTTCTGGAAAATGCGAACATTTTTCAAATGCCAAACATTTCTTGAAAACAAGTATATAATACAATTTCTGGACATTTTTCAAAAATGCAAACATTTAAATGCTAAAATTTCCGAAATTGTGAACAAAAATAAAATAGAAAAACACGAATAAATATGAAAAAAAAAAGTAGTCAATGATCTTGTAGAAGATTTCCTAAAGTGCACTGGGACCTTCCAGAAGGTTACTGAAACAGGAACCAGCGACCAGTCTTCTTGGCGTTAAATGGGTTGCCCCAATTTGGTCTGCCGAGTGCTCGGTCACTATGTGTGTGAATATGCTACTATTTGACGCTGAATGTGTCCAATAGGTTTTGACGCTATTTCTGCAAATTTGACACAAAATGTGTCAAATAAGTTTTGATGCTATTTCCACAAATAGGAGGCTCCCAGTACAAGGGAGCGTCTTGGTGGGCCCGCCCATGGCAGGACTCTAGCGAGTTGGGAGCAAGCGGGCTATTGTACATATCGGGCTACAATGGCAGTATTTTTAAATTGAGAATATAATTTAAAAATCAAATTTCAACCAATATTTAAAACCTTAAACTTTTTTAAATTCTATTTTATTACAAGTTACCATTTTTTGGAATTGTAAACATTGTTGGAAAACACGAACATTTGTAGAAATTCCAAACATTAATTGAAATGCAATTTGTTTTTAAACTGTGAGAAAACAGGAACATTTTTCGAAGTTGTGAACAATTTTCAGCGTAGGCCTCCAGAAGCCCCAGGGCATAGCGGATGATTAAAGCGTGCGGAGAATGTCAAGAGATGTCGGGCTAGACTGAAATTAACATGGGAGGAGTCCGTTAAGAGAGACCTAAACCAAATAACTAGTTATGAACAAGCGTGCGTGGAAGCTTCCTATCCATGTGCCAGATCCATGAATCGGTCGCGAGATCTTATGGGTTTCACCTCTAGCCTACCCCAACATGTTTGGGACTAAATGCTTTGTTGTTCTCACGTTGGGGTAGGCTAAAGGTGAAATCAATGTTATTTAAAAAAATGTGAACCATTTTTTGTTGTTCTCACGTTGGTTTGTGCAATTAAAAAATTGTGAACTATTGTTCTCACGTTGGGGAAGGCTAGAGGTGAAACCAATGTTATTTTAAAAAAATCGTGGACCATTTTTTTGTTGTTCTCACGTGGGTTTGTGCAATTAAAAAATTGTGAACCATTGTTCTCACGTTGGGGTAGGCTAGAGGTGAAAGCAATGTTATTCTTTAGAAAAACTGTGAACCATTTTTTTGTTGTTCTCACATTGGTTTGTGCAATTAAAAATGGTTCACAATTTTTTTAATTGTTTGTGCAATTTAAAAAAGTTCATGTCTTTGAAAATTACTCATGTAATTTTAAGAACCGCTTTCATTTAAAAAAAAGTCATGTCACTAAAATTCATTAATTCTGATCAGATATTTAACAACATTCATGATATTCCTGAATTTTCATAATTTACATTTAGCTCTTATTATTCTTTTCGAACAAATCTTTTGATTGAAAGTCGGATTTTTTTGGTAACATATTTGTCAAATGATTTCATAATATGTGTCTTATTGTGTTATCCAATGATTTTCATTTTTGTAACCAGAGTTGTGTTCTGAGCAAAAGCATTTTTATTAAGCTTAATCTATTTTTTTATTACAAAACAAGAATTATCTGAATGCATATAAATAGAAAAATAAAGCTTTATTGACATGATTTTTAGATTTGAATTATTACATATTATTTTAAGTTACTAATCAATTTTTTATTTGCTTATTTTATGATATCCTCATTGCATGGTCTGTGCATGATGAAATTAAAAACAATTATATAACGTTGAAATAAATTTATTGTTTTGTTGATCTTAATATAAATTATAAAAAACTGTCTGTCGGTGTACTAGAGTAGGGGTACCCTAGTATTCCGAACTTGTGCACGGGCAGTCGCAGCATCCCGCGGCAAAGCTTGCCGGGTAACCGCCAAGGTCCTCCGTGGTTCCTTTGGAGCCATTCAAGGACAAAGTATCCAAATCAAGGAGACAAGACCCCGGCAAGAGGAGCTTGCCGGGAAGGCCAACCAAGGCATTTCAAGAAACTTGCCGCGACGCGCCACGCGTCCCGGCAAGGCCCGGTGATCGACAAGCTCCCGGACGCGACAAGACAACGACCGCGGCAAGGCGCTTGCCACGGCAAGGCGCTTGCCGCGGCAAGCCACCACTCTGTGTCCGCGCTCCAGCACATCCACCAACGTGTCGCTCTGAGACCCTTCCAGGCGTACGTGGCGGGAGGCTGTGCAGCCAGCGGTGCGTGGTGGTAAGC